GGGGCGGTCCGCGCTGAGCGCCGGCGCTGTCGCCCCGCAGGAGGAGCTGCCGCTGCCCCTGGAGCACTTCCTGCAGAGGATGGCCCGGAGACCCCGGCCCCAGCAGTTCTTCGGCCTCATGGGCAAGCGGGATGCCGGTGAGCGGGGCGGGGGGCTGGTCCCTCTCACGCTTCTCTGCATGCCTCTTCTCCTAGTGCCGCTCCAAACTTACCGCGGTTCTCACTCGGGTTTAACGCGTTAAACCTTTCTCAAGAGTTGCGATGTGAGTTGCTTGGTTTTAGTCTTGTTTTGGTTCGGGTTTTTTTTTTTCCCCCCAAGCTTAATATCAGATAAACCCACCGACTGGAAAAGAGTGGGGTTCACATTAAAGTGCAAGTGCACACCAATTACAGCATGTAAATACCAGCAAGTAGTATCACGATAATTCACAGGTCGGCATATGTGCCACTAAATTGCACATATAGTGCAATATGTGCAGACTTGTGCACTGAATTGCACAATCCCAAAATTGTGCAGAAATTGGTTGCGTATACAATTATTGCCATGTTTTCTACATGTTTATTGAATCAAGAATTGCTCAAAGTAACTTGGAGCTAAACAGACCTAAATTGTGTGCATTTAGCTGAAACAAGATTTTGTAGTCTATTCAAAAAGAAATGCAGTTGTAAATGACCGCCTTAATTTCCCTTAAGTGGAATATGTGTAGGGTAGTTTCTGTATTTGATTCTTCAAAGCATTGCAGTGTCATCATATGTATATGCCAATCCTTTTTCAACAACTTTTTTTCCTTTTTTTTCTTTCTTTTTCTCTTCCAATCAGGATATGGCCAGATCTCTCACAAAAGTAAGTTAAAAAAAGGCAAATATTTTAAGTAGTTATTAGAAGATATTCAAATAGGGAATAGTGTATTTGAGGGGATTAGTTAGAAGGTGACTGGGTTCAGCTAAGGACTGGCAGCACTGGTGGTGGAGAAATGTTCTGTTAAAGGATTGAAGACCCCCCCAGTGCAGCCGTGAGCCTGTACCTCATCTGAGCCACCACAAGCTTTGAGAATTCAACGCACATTAATGTGTGGACGTTGCAGCTCTCTCTTATTTCCCATGGGGGGGATTCTGTAAGCCTTTCTCATAGGCAAGGCAGGCTTACTGCCAGACTTGGAGAGGAGCAATTAAGACAGCAAAATCTGGAAAATTAGAATAGTGAATTCCCAAATCCCCAAGAATGATTCCACGGGAAAGCCCATGTCGTCGCATGCAAGACACTGTATCTGTGCTCTCAGCCTTGTCTGGGTGGGAATCAGACCCCCGCTCACAGCAGGGGCTGATTGATGATGTGCTGCCATATAAACAAGCGTATCTTGCCCCATTAATAAGCGTGCCTTGCTTTGCTTCTGTGTAACACCAAGCGGGAGATAGTGTCAGCAGTGCGGTGTTACCATGTTCTGCACAGTGACAGTTTTATTCGCTGAATTTATCTGAAGATGCTTAGACAGAAGCCGGAAGACTTTTAATAAGTAAAAATGATCTTGTATTCTGAGAGACCTCCTCTGTTCACAGAGGTCAATAACTGTCCCAGTGTTCTGTTAGCCACAAGATTTTTATCACGAGGATTATGTATCGGAAGACCAATTAAAGAGTCCGATAGAAAGTTCACGCCAAATAACCTGCTGACTAAAGTAAAAAATTATAGCTTTCTGAAACAGCTTGAATTAATACCTGTGAGGTCTGAGGATCATTCATCTTGCTTTGTAGATGAATTAGCCAAGCAAAATTCTTTCCAAAGAGAAATTTCTAAGTTTGCCTCAAAAGTCAGCTTAGAGAAAAAAGAATGGCTCCTTTTTGTTCCTTATCTGAAACATATAGCTACCGCTCTATCTGATGTGTACTGTAGGCCAAAACTTGGAGTAATTTATCCTCTACACATCCAGTGCCTTGAGGAGCACTAATGGGACAGGAAGGTAATATCTGAACTCATAAATATTCCAAAAATAGAGCCAGACTGTCTAGCTCGGACGTGTCCAGACATAGAGTCCCATTGGCTTCCTCTCCAGGAAGGGCTCTGCCTGACCTGTGAGCAAGATTTTTCTTCCACGTTTCAGAAAAAAACACCACCAGGTAGAAGAGATGCATCACACAGATGCAGGCTATACCAAGACGCTTGTGCACCAATGCCTTCTTGTGCATTTGCTGAAATCAATAGTAATTGTTACCGGGAGAGGAATAAGAATCAGTTATTGGCCATTGTTTTTCCATTATATTTAAAAAAAAAACACAAAACAACCCAAAAAGTCTATCTGAGTTAACGAGAAGATGTCCACTAACTGGCCTGTGCCTTGGTCTAACCTGTTCAGTGATTTTAGTCAGACTGATGTTTGTTCTCCATTGCCTGAGAGTGGTGTGAACAACTAGTCTGTGAGACAAACAGTTCTGGAGCCTGTGTCTTCCTTCCTCGCGAGAACACGTTATCTTAAAAGCTTGCCTATTTGAAATGTATTAAAACACCCCCAAATATATTTTTTTCAGGGCATAAAACAGACTCCTTTGTTGGACTTATGGGCAAAAGATCTTTAAATTCTGGTATGTATATGACTAAATCTGGTACTCAGTAATATACAGCCTCTTCATTCTGTTGCCTCTTTGTTCTCTCCCAGCGGATGGAAGAAGCAGTCTTTATGTAGTGTAGACCCAGAGTTCTCTGAAAAAGGACCAGGATTTTCTTTGTTAACCAAGATATTTCAGGGTCCGCTTCACTCCGATGCTTGAGATGATCAGGTTGGTCTGAGCTGCAGGCAAGGTCAGGCAGAAGTCCCCAGGGCACTTTCCTTACTGCCCTGTCCTCGGCAGCAGCATGTTCTGCTGGTCCCCAAAGCGCTAATGCAAGACAAAACTGAATTTTACTGACACATCAAGAAAAATTCAGAGGCTGAAAATGTAAAGCTCATTTAAACTTGTGATCCAAACCCAGATCTCCCCAGGTAAAGGGATATCCTTATTGTCTCTGGAGATCATTATTCCTCAAACTTGGAGCAGAAGGTGAGAGAGCAGAGATCTGCCATTAACACCACCTTATTCTGCAGGTCAATCTGTTGAACATTCCCAGCCTCTTCCAGCTTTTCATTTTACCTAAAAAAAAATAGCAGCAAGCATTTTAAGCTTTGAACCGATACTGTGAATTTGGGTTATTTTCCCACAGCATCCATATAGGGCAGAATCCTCCTCCCTCATGTGCATAACCCCTGTGGGCCACTGCAGAGTGCCAGTACTTCTAGCTCCCCTGTGCTCCAGGGCTGTACTGAGGAAATCCCTCACTGCAAACCATAAAGCATCAGTTAATTCTCCAGAATAGGAATTAAAAAAATAAAAAACCTAATATGTATTTCATGTCTCTGAAATAGTTCTCACTGTTTTGTTAAATGGATGATAAATGTTAAATTACTAGCTGACACCTTCATATTATGTGGATACACGCTGTGATCTATATTCTGCAATTATGGTTGTCAGTAACTTTTATTTTCAATTAAACCCTGCTCAGACTAGTAATATTGCTCTCTGCATCATTTTGCAAATTGCTATGTATCATGAATAATTTTGTATAATTTTATCTGTGGTGGCAATAGCTATTAAATGCATAATACCTGTAAATATATCTGCTATCACAAAAGTAAATAGCTTGGAAGTAATAAATCGGGTTTGGTTTCCATTGGGATTACATTTACATTAGTATGAGAATGTAAAATGCAGCAAGTGTTTAAAAAAGGCAAAGATTTTATTGCCCTAATTTCAAAATTGCTGGTATAGTCAGGATACTGTTATGTGGTATTTGTAACAAAGGGGAATAATGAAGTTTTACCCTGTCGGGGTATGTAATACCTGCCTGACAGGTAAAACTAGAATTCACTGCTTTTCTGCTCGATTCCCTGAGAGAACAAATGGTAAGAAGTTGCTTCTGCTCCTCTGGAGGAGAAGATAGGTTCTAAGGACTGCGTAATCAAACCAAGATCAGGAGTATGTGCTAGGACTGTCCTTACTTCTCCCTACTGAAAGATAGTTAACTGGGCAGGAGCTTTTCTTGGTGCCGAGCCTTGGTGCCATGGTTTTCTTCTCCTGCAGAAAGCCCCCGAGTCCCCTGGCAACGCGGCGTTCACACCGCCCCGCGGCTGGGTGTGAGCGCGGTGCTGCTTTAAAGCCTCATGTGACAAAGCAGAGTACCGGCATGCTGGTGCCCCCGTTCCTGGTTTGGTAAAATGGGGTCTGACACTGCCTGTCTCCCAGGCTGTGCAGTCTGTCAGATGAACGCTCCAGGCAGAAGCTAAAAAACAGTCACACGTACAGTAAAGATACTGTAACAATCCATATTGAGAAAGAAAGCTCAGCTCATTTAGCCTGGTGAAAATTGAAGTCTTGTTAATTTAAAACTGTCACTGATCCAAAATGCCAGCTCCCTGTGGGTTGCAATGCTGAATCCCCCCGAACTAGCTGTGCATTGCATGCAACAGTCAGGCATGCATATGCTCCGTGAAAGCAATCCTCCCTTTGGGGTGGAAGCAAAGGTGACCAGCTATGTCACCCTATGGTCAGGCACTGCCCAAGAAGGGCTCTGAGTTTCCCTCTCATTTTAAAAGAGCAAGAAGGAGAGATCTACTACTAATAAATGCTAAATATGTTACTGAACACTATTCTAGGCTGTGGTTGGTCCACAGGGTAGTCTGAGGTTTGCTTAGCTCCTGCTGCAGATTTTAGTAAAAGGTATCACTGTGTGCAGGGCTTGGGGACGGGGAGGGTTTAAACTTGGCAAAGAGCTGACTCTGCAGGACAGCGGGTGGCCATGTCGATGCAGAAAGCGTCTACCCACAAATTGATCTGAGTGCTCACATCCCATCAGTTAAATGGATTACCGGAAGATAAAAAAGCTTTGAGTCAATGGTGCTTCAAGCAGCCCGATAGACGAGAGGTAGAAAGCATTGCTCAGACCTTCAGCCTCCTGGAGGACAGTGTAGTCTGAGGGGTAAAACCAAGTGAAAACAGCTCAGGGCTGTGCCAGGACCCCTCACGTCGGGCCCAAACGCTCTGACGGGGTCCGGTGGTGACCCAGCAGGCTGCAGGTCTCTGACGTTTCCTCGTGCTGGCTGGGGTTTATGCAAGGCTGCACCACGGGCTTCATTCTGCTTTGTTTTTTGCAGGATCCTCTGAAAGGAGCATAGCACAGAATTACGAACGGAGGCGTAAATGAGACATTCCTGTGCATTATTTATTAAACTTAATTTGTTCCAATGGCCAATGCAGTGTAATTTAAACTAACCACTGTATGGAATAATTATTTATTTAATAATAACCAAGGGGTTTTGGTTTTTTTTTTTTTCAGTTGTACATTCAATAAAATTATTATTTTTCATATTGTGGCAGCGATACGTGTTGTGTAGGTGCGTTGTGGTTCTGAAAGGACCAGCAACCCTGGTGACGTCTCACAACAAAGCACATCGTTTGATATGACCCGTACAGTTATGTTCACTAAACAAAGAGAATCTTCTTTTGTTCGTTGAAAGCGAGTCTATCAGCTTCACAGCCAGTGCAGAACAGAGCTGATGTACAGTCTAGTGCCTCAATTTGTTTTCATGGTTTATAATGTACTGTAATTTCCGTATCAAAAAATATATTTGTATCATTGCAGCATGTTTTATGTTTTGTGACTATGTATCTATATATTTTAAAAAGGGGGGTGGATAAGGTTTGAATGTGAATCCGAGGTCTTCATTTCGTAGTCTGGAATTTTATGATAGTAACATTTTAAATAAAAACTACTCTGGGGATTTTGCAACATACTTCCTTTGGTGACAGTGATGGTGTTATTTCCCAAGGCGGTCCGGAATGAGACTCGGATCCAAGCAACAGTGGTCTGAGACTGGAAAGAAATATCAAATTGATGCCTTCCTTTTGCAGGGAGGCCACGAGCCTCCTAGTGCGGGTTTGGTGAATGCTTTGGGGGATTTGCTACTAGAGACAGGCATTCCCAGGATTGCTCCGGGTCACACAAGGTGCCCGTCTATCCTAAACCCGATGGAAATCAAGAAGTGTGTTGACTGAATGAAAAGGGCCCGATATAACCCCGAGCTCCAAGTGGAATAATTTGCTGTGGAATTCATCCACTACTGCAGGCTTGTTATTTGAAAGCCGAGCTTTTAATAAATTCTAGCTCTCAGATTCACAATAAAAACACTTGTTGGCTTGAACCCATGCAATATAAGAGAAAAAAATGTGAGTGCAATCACCTTTTTAATTAAAATGTCTGGTTACTATATTTCCAGGACAGTCCCAAAACGTTACATACATCTCAGCAGATGCCAAAGCATCTGGAGGTCTATATTCTTTCCACCAGCTGTACTTCTCTATTTGATGCTATCATGCGAGCTTTCATCAGAGATGAATCAGCAGTAAAAACAGCCAGGATATACAAACCAAATTTCAAAATAAGTAATACAAAGTGATTAACTGGTTGTTGTTTTCCATTTCGGAAGTTGAACTCGGCGACCTCCGTTTTCAAGTTTACCTGAGGCATCCCCATAACTGCACCCATGAAGAGCGGGTGGGCGTAGGACCTCCCTCCTGCTAGGTTCGGAGCAGCACCTCAGCCTGCCCATGCTTAAAACAGACCCTACTTCCAACTAAGTAGGAGCCGGCTCTAGCGAGGTGGGGGGCTACATGGTGGGAAAACTGAGGTGGGCGGATACCACGCTCGTGTGGGACACACTGGTTATACTGGTGCTCTGCCAGCTCTTCGTCTTGCCAGGGCTAATTTTCAGACTAATAAACTTTGGTATCAGCTCCCACTGAGCTCAGTGAGGGGGGAAGCTGGTTGCTGGGCTAACAGCGTGAAAAGGAGCACAGAAATGTGTGTTGAATAACGCTCAGTGAAGGGTAAAAAGAAAGAAAAAGCTTTAAAATGCTGTCCCCCGAGCCTGGAGGCCCATGCTGCTCCCAGAGCTCACAGCCCGTGTGTGCTGAATTGTGAGACACGGAGAGGAAAGAAAAAGCCCCGCTGCTCGCTCCCTGCGGCCTGCGCATCTCACAAACCTCCCCGCAGAAGCAATCGCTGCAAACATATTTGCAGCCAGAGAAAGCCGCACAAGAGAGAGTGGGCTTTAAGTATTTGGAGGACAGCACAGGTATTAGTTAATAGCACCCAGCAAAGGGCTGGAACTGAATCTTCTGGCAAAACCATAGAATCACAGAATGGAAGGGACCTTTAAGGATCATCAGGTCCACCCCCCCTGCCATGAGCAGGGGCATCTTTCACTAGAGCAGGTTGCTCAGAGCAGAGCCCCGTCCAACCTGACCTTGAATGTTTCCAGGGACGGAGCCTCTGCCACCTCTCTGGGCAATCTGTTCCAGCGTCTCACCACCCTCATCGTAAAAAATTTTTTCCTTACGTCCAGCCTAAATCTACCCAATTCAAAACTGTTGCCCCTTGTCCTGTCTGCCTTGGTGAAAAGTCTTTCTCTGTCTTTCTTATAAGCCCCCTTTATATATTGAAAGGCCTCAATAAGGTCTCCCCGAAGCCTTCTCTTCTCCAGGCTGAACAACCCCAACTCTCTCAGCCTTTCTTCACAGGAGAGGCATTCCATCCCCCTCATCATTTTCGTGGCCCTCCTCTGGACTCGCTCCAACAGACCCATGTCTTTCTTGTGTTGGGACCCCAGAGCTGGACGCAGTACTCCAGGTGGGGTGTCACCAGAGCAGAGTAGAGGGGCAGAATCACCTCCCTCAACCTGCTGGCCACGCTTCTTTTGATGCAGCCCAGGATACGGTTGGCCTTCTGGGCTGCGAGCGCACATTGCCGGCTCATGTCCAGCTTTTCATCCACCAGTACCCCCAAGTCCTTCTCGGCAGGGCTGTTCTCATCCATTCAGCCCCCAGCCTGCACTGATATGTTGGATTGCCCCAGCCCAAGTGCAGGACCTTGCACTTGGCTTTGTTGAACTTCTTCAGGTTCGCATGGGCTCACTCCTCAAGCCTGTCAGGGTCCATCTGGATGGCATCCCTTACCTCTAGTGTATCAACTGCACCACCAGCATTTTCTCTAGAAGAAAGGCTGACCCTCCAGTGTCAAAATATTCTCTTGTTACGTGGCTGTCTGATGAGTGGTTTTAATTTGGCGTTTGAAACAACTCATTTCAATTTCTGGTGGCAAAATAATGCCAGATTTGCGCCAATTTAGGTTTTGAACAATAAGATTAAAATTGGCATCGATTTATATGTTTGTACAGACATGTATTCCAAGCTAGAAATAAAGCAAACACACACCAAAAGGCACAGCCTGAAATGTTCCAACTCTACCAATGATACAAAAAAAAAAAAGCCCTTACCATGTTTCAGCATTGGGGACCGTTCGGCTGAGCTGTGCCACGTTGGGGCTGGGGGCCGTGCCTGCCCAGCGGGTTCCGGGCAGACCTGGAGACGCATGAACCGTGCACGCCTGCGGGCATCCAGCCCAGCACTGCCCATCCCCTCTGCGGGCTCGCTCCCGCCACCCTCCTAGTCAAACATTTGTCCTCACAGGCATCCTGGGGTCCTCAAGACTCAAACAGGAATTCTTATTCTTATTCTTATTCTTATTCTTATTCTTATTCTTATTCTTATTCCTATTCTTATTCTTATTCCTATTCTTTTTTCAGTCTTTAGCAGTAAGTGATATAGTCTATACATTATTCAGCATTTCAAAGGGACTTTTTAATAATTTCTGTGGTCTTTAATCTCCCTTTTGAGGCTCCTTCAGCTTTTAAACACTTCTTTGTGTTGGACAGCATTGCTTGCAGCCCTGGGCCACTCACGTGGCGATGCCAGCCCTCCAGCTCCACCGCAGGCTTTGGAGAGGCTTTCACTAAACGCCCCTGCCGTCTCTGCAACAGCCAGCCATGACTGTGACACAGACTGTGCTCTTCTTTGATAGCAACAGTCTGACATCCCTCAGGCTGCATAAGCTAATCAATAAAGCTGCAGCAAGGGCATTTGTCAGTGAAATGCAAGTGAGTTTTAAATAAAGTAATAAAAACCTTTCTAGGAAATTGGCACAGAGAGTAAACCCAGGGTGATGCTGGTAATTGTCCCCACTGGGGAGGTGCTACAGGCAATTTGACGCCACAGCCCGCCTCCAACACGCTCTGCCCCCTTTTTGCTTCTCTTTTCCCCCAGAAATACATCATTCATCTGCATCATGGCAGGCGCTGCTCTTCTAGTAGGTCCTGTCTCCCCCCTCCCACAGGCACTCCCCTTCCCCCAGACAGGGGATGCTAAAGTCAGGCTGGCAGCAGCCTGCCTGGCTCAAGCGTGACCTGGAGGACCATCAGCTCCATCCATCGCCTCCTTCTCTCTGCCGATGCATGGAGACTGGTCCCCCATTGCGCAGATGCAGCCAATCTTACCCTGGGGAGCCAGAGCCACGGTGTACATAGCCCCCCGTGAACCAGGGAGCTGGGCGGGGGGTCTGGCTCCCCATATACACCTCGCCAGGGCAGTCTGGGCTCTGCAGTGCTTGCTCACCCAGCTGCCACAAGCGAGTCCCTTGCTGTGTTCACATCAGGAGGCTGGTATTTTTTAGCATGGTTCTAATCAAAAGAAAAGGAAAAATCTGGAATTGCCTGGGCATGGAGATCTTTGCGGGGAACCCAGCCCCCAGCCATCTCCAGCTAGAGCAGAATAATACCAAGAGGTTTTTTAAAATTATTGAAGTGATTCTTAAAAATGCTGTTTATTCAGAGTATGCTAGTAGCAGCTCCTTCAGAGCTACCAAGAGCTATTATTTAAATGCAGGCTTTGTCCCTGCGTCTTCTTAAACTACTGCTTAGATAACTGCTTTAGCGTAAAGAGATACCGAGCAAGTCCCAGTGCAAACTCCAGTAACGACCAAATTTTTTCATGATGAGCCTGAACAGTTCCCTTAGCCATAGCATTGCAGACTGCGTTAACGAACGTCTCCTGGAGTGCCGGGACGAGAGCACGCAGCGGCTCCTTCCCTGGAGTTGTACTGTGTCAGGATGCAGCCGCCTGCAATTCCGGGTACAGCTCCGTGTCCTCACGCTACCTCCAAAATGGCTCACTTCCCTTTACAGAAAGTAGTCATTACTGGAAGAGTAGGGATTTTTTTTTTTTTTTTTTTTTTTGCTGTTAGCAAGTGTACAAATGTCTTCCAACTTATCTACATCTTTCAGGGAAGAAAAACAGACTCTCTTTGCATTA